ATACAATTCAAAATCGAGTTATACCTACAAAAGAATTAGGCATCCACCTATATCCCATTTTGTCCTTTTTGATGCTTTACAATGATTATTATACAACACCGCAAGACATGCACTCCCCCAACTTAGATTGCTACAAGACTTAAAATTCTTCAGTAATGGCAAATAAAGCAAAGGTATAGTGTTGCCGGTTGTGTCCGGAAATAGTGAACCTCCAATTGCCCACAAAACAAAAACCCGAACCCTTTTCTGACAGGCATCATCTGAGGCCGTAGCTGGAAGTTTTCGGTTACACTCTTTTGCCAGCGAAGTGATTATAACTTAGTTGGACCCTTTCTTAAATGCAGGTGTGAAGCCCAAAAGTTCCTGGCACATTGAGACCCAACTAGCTGGTGGCGAATCTTGGCCAGTTAAGGTTTCTATTAATTCTCAAACCCAAAAGAACTTCGACATCTTGGAGCATAATTGTTGCTTCTCCCATTGAAAAGTGAAATGTATGAGTTTTGGACCGCCATCTTTCAACCAAGGCTGTCACGAGAGAGTTGTCTAATCGGATGAGACCCGTCTCGAGGGAGTATCCAAAACCCATTTTAGCCACGTAACCTTTAACTGTGTCATTGCTCATTGCATACAGCTCCCAAAGTAGATTATCAAATCGTCGACACTTATGGTGTTCAGTCATGTATCTCGGCTCACTGTTCCAAACGGCATCAGAACGATGATCACCCTGAAGGTAAAGAAGGTTGGACTCGGTCGGACCCTTATTTGTGAATTTTTAAGGTTCCGACGAAGATGAACTAGCCATATTTCCTAATATAAAAAAAATAAAAAAAATCAGAATGTAAACTAAATAAAAATAGAACCATAATGTATTAAAAAGATGTATCAACACAAGAACTTTAAGTATGCAATAATCTACATAGTACAAGTTATCTAAACACAAAAAAATTTTCCATATGACCCAAATACGTGCCAACAAATGCTGAAGTTATTACATTTTATGTCTAAAATGCTATTTAATTAGACAAACGTTATCTTTATTCAGAGCAAATAAGATTCAACAAATTGCAGCAATAAACAGAATGTATACAATCAATGTCCAAACATTTGAATATATAACCAAAGAGTTTCATAATTGTGGTATACCTGCTCCGACATTTGTACTTAAATCTAGTTTAACAAAAAGACTTGAAATCCTACATTACTTGTAGAGTATTCAATAACAAGGTACCATTAAATAGGAAAAGGAATTCGTTCTTAATCAACTTTAAGCTATGCAAATTGAAATGCAAAAGGAAAAAAGCAGGAATTCGAAGCAAGGAAATCGAGGCATTTAAAAAAAAACAAAAACAGAACCATAAGTTACATGGGGCTAAGGGCGTTATCTAGAAGTTGCAGAGGCGATGCACCAGCAAGAGGCGATGCACCGGCGAGAGGCGAAGCATCGGAGAAGAAGCGGGCAGAGGCGATGTAGCGGCGATGATGGAGTCTTTACGAAGTCGACAGAATTCGGGGATGAGGGGCGTCAAATACAACGGGGGCGTCAAATATAGCAGAGTCAAATACAGCAGAGGGGTCGAAGTCGACGGATTTGTGGATCTAGATGGGGCTAAGGTGGGGTGGCTGCGGGGGAAACAATCTAGGGTTATGAAACGGGGCGGTCGGCGGAGCGGGATTGAGAAGGGGAAGAAAGAAAATAAGGGAAAGAAAAGAATTTTGACGAAGTCAATATTTTTTAAAAGAAACGGATTTCAAATATCCGTTCTATTTTATTTTAATAAAAAAAGAAAAATTGAATCCGTTGTATTATTTTAATAAAACGAATTTAATTTTTCCATTTTTATAATTGTTTTCAAAAAAAATTTAAAACATACAGATTACAATTTTTATTATAAAACAACAACCATAAATTACTTCAATCAAACCCTAACGTCTAATAGCTAAAATGACTACAACAAGAAAAATACAAACCAAACATGCTAGATTTAGAAAATAAAGATTAGTGTTATTATTGCCCGTATAATTTCTACACTCGTGATGAATATTCGCATTCATTTTCCCATTGTCAATGAAACTACTCCCAACATTGTTTTCTACAGGTTCTGCCTAACCTTGAAAATAGTGAATACGACAATAGTGAAAAAGACGGTCTGGATTTTCGGGCGTATTAGATAGTATAAATTCGCACTTATTCCCACATAATGGACAAAAAAATGCCTCATAACGCAAATAACTGGCGTTGTTGCCGTTGTTGCTGCTGCTCCAATTGACATTTTTCCTAAATACAGTAATGGAGAAAATGAGAATGGGGAAGGAAGAAAATCATCCACAAAAACGAATTGTGGGGCATTATACATGAGAAAAACGGATGTGCAAATTCCGTTTTTAGTTTAAAAGAAAAACAGATTTTTGAATTCCGTTTTTTCTACCCTAAAACCGAAACCCTATTTTTCTTTTTAAAACATCAATCCAGATTACATTTTACTACAAATTTCTACTAATACAAAATACGTTCCTACTGAAACATCCAACTAAAATAACAATAATACAGTCATAACAATAATGATCATCCAAATACATAAAGAAATACATAATACCAAGTTTGTCAGACATAAAATCCAAATGCCTAAAGAAATACATAAATATAGATTGCATGATATTAGTTCCAGATTCAACACACGGGAGGCATTCAGTCCTCTTCAATATTTTCGAAACCATCTGCGTCCCAATTGACTTCCAATCTTGTCCGATCAGCTATGCGGTGCGAGCGACCACATGCCCTTGTGAAATGATCTTGACTGCCGCATCTCCTACATCTTCTGCGTCCACTCCTACCCATATAATCCATTGACATCAAGAATCGCCGCTGTTGTTGACGACTCGGAGCATCATACAGAACTAGATTAACATAATCAGGATCAAGGTTCTACCCTGGAGACACCCATTCTTCTCTTCTTGGGACGGGAACAAACCTAGAATGACGAAACTGCTCACGCCATGTGCTCGTCTTATAATATTCATGTATTATGTTTTCTGGGTGATCACCAATTCACCGACATACAACCAATGCGTGAGAACGAGGAAGCCTGTAAGTCTGCCACTTCTTGCATGAACAACGCCAATCCCTGTATTCTACTTTGTGTTTATTTCCACCTTTCCCTATACGACGCCAACCTGTAATGACCCCATACGCTTGGTTCTGGAAATCGTACAGCTCCACTTTGTGAGTTGCTGCTGTATTCTCGTACTTACAGAATTTCTTCCAATACTTATCTCCGATAGGAGTTTGGCACTTCAAGGCAAGTGTATACTGATCACGGAAGAACTTAATTGTCTTCGCCAAAGTCGATTCCACCACAGTTCTAATTGGTAAAAATCGAACACCCTTCAGAACATTGTTGTAACTTTCAGATATATTTGTTGTCAAGATGCCCCAACGTGCATAATCTTGATCGTAGGCAAGACTCCACCTCCCCCCCCGAAATAGCCATCATATAAGCAAGACCTGCTTCATTGCACTCTCTCAGTTGTTGCTGAAATTTTAAAAACTTGTGATTTTGCCGTTTCTTGCCCATTTTCCAACAAACAAGATTGGTTCGCGCAGTTTGATTTCTATGTTGCTTCGAACATGTCGAAGACAATACCTGTGGTATCTATAATATGGTTCAAGCCACTGATCGACATTATTTTTCAGTGTACTGATTATCCCTTTATGCCGATCTGATATAAGACACGTGATTATGTCGTATACAACATGAATCCTCGAATTACTGAGAAAAAATGACCAACTGTCCTCACTCTTCTCATCCACAATTGCGAAAGCAATGGGCATGATATGGTTGTTAGCAGTTTTCACCATTGCTACAAGAAGTTTACCCTTGTACTAACCGCGGAGGTGTGTGCCATCAATACTCACAACAGGTTGACACTTATGAAATGTCGCAATGGAAGGACCAAATGCCCAGAAAATATATTTGAAGACCCGATGTTCATCATTCTTAGTCCTAGGTTGCCATTTCTACTCAACAACCGTGTTGGGATTAGACTTATATAGTGCGGCCATATACCTATCATATATACAAAACAATCCAATAATTCCCTAGTAAAACAGTCTGGATTTGCATCAACAACCAGTTTAGAAAACAATCCAATATTTTCATGATAAAACAGTCCAGATGTGCATAAATAGTCCAGCATTTAAAAAACAATCCAATGTTTTCCTAATAAAACAGTCCAGATTTGCATAAACAGTCCAGTATTTTCCTAATAAAACAGTCTAGATTTGCATAAACAGTCTAAGATTTATAAAATAGTCCAGTAATTTCCTAATAAATCAGTCCAGATTCGCATAAACAGTCAAACTAAAAATATCATAAATAATAAGTTTTAAATTTTTACTAGGGCAATTCGGTAAAATTATCGATCTAGTTACCATAGCACGCTTTGATGGCGTTCCTTCTTGCATGCCATGCCTTCTTGTACTTCACATCCACATTATAAGCTGTCTTCACAGGAGCCCTGATTGACTTCACCTTAAAACTAGGATCATCTTGAACACTACACCTTATAAGTTTGGCTATTAACTTCGACGTCAAATTACGACGGTCATTTCCTCTAGTTATTCCAACACAATTGTGACAATCAACCTAGGACACAATTTGCCACAGACTATACTTCTTCAAAGATGCACGCATCCTCCACGCACAAGTAGATTTCCCAATTAGAGTGTGCATTCTTCTTGTTGTGTACTCTGCAGCCCATGACTTACGGCCAGAAACAGTCACATAAAATTGTCTGTTGTGATGTATGTTCCAGTCCTCAATAGCTGTCTCAACTTCATCCCTGTTGTTGAAATAGGTGTCCTAATCAAGGTTTTCCCTATCACCTTTCCACATCTTAACTCCAAATTCATCTCGGTCCACTATGTTCTTCTTATAATCACCAATGTCTGAATATACATGCTGACCTAAATCAGAAGTGACAAACTTCTTCATTGCTTCTGCTTATGCTTCTGCTTCCTCTTCGTGTTGTTCTTCTTCTAAGTCAGTTTCATCCGACACATTAGTTTGGTAATCAGTTTCTTCTTCGCTTTCTACAGAAGTTCCGTCAGATGCATCATCCTCATCTGATGAATCAAAGTCATCATGTTGACCCCCGTCTTGTGCCTCAGCAACATATCCATCGCCGCTGCTCCTGCTAGGCCCCGCTTCTGCATGTTGTTGAGAATTATTCATCCAATATTGCTGTTGCGACCCAAATGTATCTTCATGTCTCTGTCCAGCAAGATCTAACAAATTTTGGCCATGCACAGTGTCTTCATTTTTAACATACAGCTCCAAATATGATGAACCCGAAAAATAATAAATAATTTCCACCATCGAGTCGTCCGTAATTGTTGCGCTTCGTCTTACACTGTTGTTTTTGAACAACAAAGTAATTCTCAGATTTACATATTCTCTGTCCCAACCCGCCTTATCACAAATTCTGCTCAAAAACTCAGAATACGACAACCTGCGCTCAATAACTAATGTCGCATCTGCCCTGTTATCAAATGTTCTGATCGTGCCATCCTCTACAACATATTTATTTCTCCAGTACACATTAATAAAATATGGACCATTCCATACCATTTTTCCTGCAAAAAATATAATAATTCCTACTAAATTAACTTTCTGCGCAACACGATCCTACTAAGTTCAATATTTTTAAACTGAATAATCTCATTCGAAATTAATAAGCACAATAATTAAATAATTTAATACAATATTAAATACGATTAAAGAAAATCAATTATATCAACGCATTACTAACCTTGATGATAACAATAATGTGGCAAAAAAGAAAAAGAAAAAACAGGTTCAAACTAGCTACATCTGTTGATTTTTCACTTCCCGTTCATAACTTTCAAGATCTGTGAATAGTGTAAATTTTCATTTATATATAAGCTGAAAAACAGATTTTTTACTTCCGTTTTTTTTTTTAATTAAAGTTGCCACTACAGTGTCACAAAAAGTAAGGCAGTGTCAGACCAATAATGGAGGTGACAAACTTACAACCAAGAAACGGAAATTCGTTTTCCGTTTTTTGAGCATTATAAAAACGGAATTCTAATTTCCGTTTTACTTTTTTACTTAAATTATCAAGTATTATTTATGCCGAAATAGTTTTTCCCATTTTTCAGAATTTTGAAAATACAAAAAATAAAAACGGATAATGGAACTCCGTTTTATAAATGATAGTTAAGAAAACGGAAATTGTGCATATCTATCAAAATTTTTCAGGACCACAAAAAAAAAAACAAAAAATAAAAAGTTTTTCTCCTTTTTTTTTGGCATTTATTTAGGTAAAAAGCCCCTCAACCAAAAGGATGGATAATATTACTTGTAACATGTTATCGAGTCTTTTACTCACTAAAAAATGTTATCGAGAAACTATATATATTCTCTTTTTCATGAAATAATTATTTAGTTTGAATTTTTATTTTTAATATTCACTCCGTATCAAAAGGAAAAAAAAAAAAATCCAAATTGAGTTCTAAAATTTACTTTAAAAGTAATTCAAATTTGCCATGCTGCAGTGGGAAGAATTTAGCGTGCCAAGGCCCAAGAGGACCATTTTTTTTTTTCTTTATATGGGCTTCATATCATTTAAAGGAAGAAGAAAGGATCTACATTTCAATGTCTCTTGGATTGCTTCGAAATTATCTAATTAGAAATTTAAGTTTCTATCTAACAGGAAGAAGATTAATATTGATTAAGAATGTTCTATAAGCTATCCCTAATTTGCAACAATTGCTCCTCCCAAATATATAATAGCTGCCTTAGAGGTGAAATGCCAGAATCTTTTATGGGGATATATCTGAAGAAGGATCTAAAAGGCATTGGAGATTTTGGAAGAAACTCCCATGTCCAACGCATGAAAATGGCTAGGTATGAGAAAATTTCAGAATACCACTGATGATACTTTTTCAATAAAGCTTTTGTAGAATTTGAAGAAGAGAATAGAGATCTAGGCGAAACCGTCTCTTCTTTATCTAATGTGTCGATGAAGCGCAAAAAATTGGGGAAAAAATCTGAAAATTGAGCAAAGAAATTCAGTATTCTTAGTTGGATTCATGGCTATTGAGCGATAATATGCTTTTCTTATCTTAGAGTTGAATAATGTCGTCTTTGAAATAAGCTAAGGAAGATATAAGAATTAATGAAGGTAATCGAGTTTGAGAACACATAGGACGTTTTGGATCAATCTTCTTTGGATTTTTCTCAAGCCCATCTCTTCTTGAAGCTCGAAAGAAGTGAACCACAACTTAAAGTTGTTAAGGAAGAGTTGAAGATGCATAAAGGTAACATTCAATTTGATTAAGTTGGATGCAAAAATTTCAGGATAGAAAGTTGACGTCAACTTTCTTTTCATTTACTCGATATTATGGATGAATGGTTATGTAACTCGAAGAATAAGTTTACATCTTGATAAGGTAGGCTTTTGTTGATTAAAGATGTTCTAACATCCATTCCACAAACAAATGTTTACTTCTATATTCAACCATCAAAAATAATTATTGCAATACCTGAAACAAGGTGTCAAAGATTGCTTTTGGGAAAGTCTAAAACAAGATTTTAGGCATTGCCTAAAAGAACAACGTTGGCATTTGGTCTCATTCCATTAATTCTCTTTCAAAAATTTTAAAGGAACCTACTACAAAAGATTATGAACAATTTCCCTTCTGCCACTTTCATTTAATATTCAACTTTTTTGTTTGTTCCTAATAAACAATAATTTTACAGCATTTTATATCTTAATTAAAGATTGAATATTGGGAGGCCGCATTGACAGCTTCATGCAAAGAGAGCCTAATAAACGTTAGTATATAGAGCTATTTTAGTTCTACTCATCAAAATCCCATGCAGCAGACCAACAAATTAACCTTCTGAGGCCCTTAAAGCTCTGTGGGTGTTTCCTTGCTGCTGCCTGAAAACTCAAGATTCATCGAATCTTGAAAGAAATTAGCACTTTTTTCTTGGTTGGATATTTATGAACTGTTATTTATTTTCTGTGTACAATAAATAATCATGATACAAGTGCAAGCCGACTCTATTACATGCTCATACTCCATCCGATCATAATTATAAAATATCAATTTAAACTTATGTTAATTCAAATTTGTGTCTTATATATTTTTAGGACCAAGAGGGTGTATCACATGCGATTCCTCTATAATCTTGTTACTAGTTAGGGTAATTTATTTTGGCAAAATCTAAGGCTTTCTTTCCATCATGAGCAAGCCCAAAGAAGTTCATTCTGTAATCTTGGTACACTACTTCCCTGTATAGAGCACCGCCGTCACGCGCCACCAGTTGAGGCAGCGGTCCAATCTTTTCTGTTGGCTTTGGGGCTACGAAAAGTGGAATTGACACTCTTGATCGTTTGCTCGTGGTTCGGACTTTGTGTTCAGAACTTTTGTATTTATCATTGCTTATGATCTGGCAAAAAAAATTCAAAGTAGTTATTATATATCGTGTATAGATCAAAGCGGGATATCGAATACGACTGCATAATTTACAATATTTGTAGACTTTGTCAAATGACACATCATCAGAGATGAGTTTGACCAAACAGAAAATAGAGTAATAAAAAAAATTTCATATATGTGCATGCAGCATGGGACACCATTACGTGTATTTGTGGTGTTTGAAACTTTAAAACTTCAAGGCTAAATGTTAATATTTCTACAGTTCCGCAGTGGCGGAGCTAATTGAATAAAGCCGGGACGGTGCTCTGTAAAATGAATTTAGCAGGGGTAAAAATAAAAAATTTATAAAATATATAGTTAAAATTTTAATTTTTCCTAGAATTTCCTTATACAAATTTGAAGGGGAGGGAGGCGATTGCCTCTACTGGTTCCCCTCCCTCTGTCACTGTAGTCCCGGAACACTTGCTATATTTGTTATACTGAAAATATAATATTTTTGAATTTCTAAGTTTAAAGTTGCAACTTCCTACCAAAAATTATAGGGAAAAAGAAAAAACTTGATTATGGAAAAGCTAGGATTGACTTTATACCATATCACCCAGCGTCAGTTAAACTGAAAATTTTGATAATGTTAAAATAAATATTCCTCAGCCATAGAGCTATCAAACAGAAAGAAACATTTTATTATTTATTGGTTGTGTGAAATGATTTTATTTGTTAATTTGTTTTTATTTGAAAAAGTCTTTGTTAATTTTTTTTTTTCCTAAAGAAAAGTCTAACCTGCAAGGCATCTCCGACATTGATAACCAAAGCGCCGGAGATCGGAGGGATCTCTATCCATTCTTCTTGCTTTCCCGCTCCCACATCTTCCTCTATCTTCACAAACAGACCTCCATTATCATCTTGCAGAAGAACGGTTAGAGTTGACATGTCAGAATGTCGTCCAGCACCTATGGTTAGTTCTGGACTTGGGCATGCCGGATAAAAGTTCATGTTAACCACCTTAAAACCGGCCAGTGATTCCAACATCGATTCCTCCGGTTCCACTCCAAGATTTTCTATCAGTATCTCGAACAATCGGCGGGCTGTTTTATAGGTTGACTTCATGTAATCAAGTACCTCTTTCCTGCACAAAATCATTGTCAGAATGTTACAACTCATATGATGTCTGTCGATGTATATTCTGAAGCGTTCTAGAACAGGGTTTTCATTTACTATATATACCACCATGTTGTATCATAATACATACAATTAATAAAATCCGATTATTTGAGTATGTTTGCAAGGTTTGATTTATTCGCGTTCTAACATGCCAGAAGGAAGTTCTGTTTCTACACAAATTATAGGGACAAGAATCATTCTAGTATGCTGATAAATTTAAAAAAGGTCATATTTTGTGTACTAGTGAAACTTACACAATCTTGAGACTAATGATTCATGCGTTTAGGGTTTTCGATTAGTCCTTACTTTCTATAAACTTATGAAGATCAACTTACTTGCAAACGCTAGGCCAATGCTTTTCTGCATCATTGTCATTGGTGTAAATCATACTGATATGATCTCTCCATTCTAGTTTCTTTTCTTTCTCCGGTGCAAAACTGGTTGTGTATCTTACATAGGGACTAATACTCGCTCCCTTAAGATAAACCGTTTTTGAATCCGTCGGTTGCGAGAAAAACCGGTGAGCGGCATCTTTGATGGACTCCAAACTTTCCAAATCCACACCATGGTTGATCACCTGGAAAAATCCAGTTGTTTTAGCAGCTCTAACAATATCATCCACCACTTTTTCATGCTCCGGACCGTCGAGTTTGGATAAATCGATTGGACTTAATAAGGATGAAATGGAGGAGTTGTTGGAGACGGATAGATATTTGACTTCTTGATGATGATCAAAAACTCGTTCTTGTGGTGGTTGGATGTATAGTTCCGGCACTTTTGCAATGCCTGAATCTACCAAACCTTTGATTCCGTGGCCCTTTTTCGCCACGAAGTCGAACAAATTGTTTGAATCGGGAACAACGACGATGTTTTGATCTGCCATTTTTTCCTTGAAGATTTACGTGTTTGTTGGTAGGAGATGGATGAATGCAGTTAAATATATAGGTATCGTGCATGCGTACATAGTCAATGATTTGGTTTTCAACGTAGATTATAAAACTATATGCTTGAAGGGATCCACGCCAAAAGTCTAGGCACCGACTTAGTCAGAGAATTCAACGTTATTAAATATTTTGAGTGGCATGTATGGCTAAGCGATTTCGTGAACGGAAGAAACTACAAGAAATTAAAAGGAGTAATAGTATCTGACTATCATTTTTGTTTCCTCCTTGAACCGTACAACCTAACGTAAACAGTAGAACAGTTGAGTGTGAAAATCTCTTTGACGTTTGAAATGTAGCGCATAAAAGAGTATCATTGTATCATCGCTAGCTTAATTTCTCGAGAGATGATCTGTTGTGCATTGATCGGACTTGTGCGTTTCTACTGAATTCACAATCATTAATCTAAGCAAATGGAGTCGGATTATGGTGGAGTCGCATATTCTTTGGGAAGATGCAAAAAGAGTACAAATGAAAATGCAAAAGTATGTAAAGTCTAGGTACAAAAGCATCAAGTAATTAGTTTTGATCAGTTTCTGATCCCTCAATTAGATGGAAAAAGTGGTTTAATGATCAATATAGTACTTCCTATTGTTTCTTTTATTATGCACAATTTATAGTTCAGAATGCCGTATAAATATATGTGTGTGTGTATATAATCAGAAGGAATATAATCCTTTCTCATCACTCAGATTAATCCATTAACGGCTAATATTATTCTGTTTGTTACATCGCTCTCATGCAATGCAGATCATTCTATGTATAATATGTTGGTTTTACTAGTTCTAACCGTGTTTTAGGACTAAAAAAAATAGACTTATTCTACGATTGGCTAGCTTCATTTCTTTCTTTTGTCGACGATATATTGGTTTAAAAGGTTGATATCCTTTATCTACTTCAAATGCTTATGCTTCCTCAAGTTTCAATTTTTTTCCTTTGTTTATATGCCTTGAAGTTTCATACATATTAATTAAACATTAAAAGTACATATAGTTTCTAAACAGTCACCACATTTCAGCAGAAAAAAGTCAAACCCTCTTAGATATAAACCGAACAAAAAAAAAGGCTCGATCATATGATTTCCTCTTCAGTTTCTTCTTCTTCTTCTTCTTCTTCTTTTTTCTTTTTTTTGGGGGGTTGTCAAACCTATGAAGCCATGTGTTCGAAACAAAGGTACTTGCGAATCGATCTTACGTATAACGAGCCAAGAAATTGACTTTTTGCGAGTTGTAACCAATAACTTTTGTAAGCTGGGCTGTCGTTATTAGTTAGTTTCAAGTCATAAATTTGAATGCTATTTTTTGTAGTTTAGCCTATTTCCAACAACTAGGTACTGTGACTTTGAATTTATACAATCTTATAAATTCAAAACAAAAGAAAAAAAAAGAAAAAGAAAATAGAAGGTAAGACTTCGTGTGAGACAATTTGCGTGCTTCCCATGTTTGAATAAATGGAATCTCTGAAATATCTTAAAAAAAGTTCATTTCAATTATCATTTCAGAATGACTAGGAATATATGCAAAGAAAATTTACAAGCAAATGTGCACTAAAGAGTAGCCTTTAATTAAAACTATCTCCTTCCCCTTAACTTTAAAAATACAAAAATTCCAAATGAAAAGTGTAAAAATAAATAGATATGATTTAGTTCACATCATCCCTATTTAATTTTCCTTGTAATTAATTGTTCTTAATATGTATCATTATTAGATAGATACGGAGTGTTTGCGCAATCCAAAAAAGACTGAAACCATTACAAGTGATTAATTTTTGCGCGCAGTGAGTGACTACATAAAATTTTTCTCATGATTTTCATATCTTTTTTTTTAAAAAAATTAAGTTGACATTTACATGCAGCTCTTTGAATTAATTAATTAATTACTAATACGTATGTCACTACGTCATTTGCGTGTTTCGCTCATGCAAAAGTTGGTACAAATTAATACAATATTCAAGAATTTCTTAGCAACATGTCCTGTGTAATTGTTAATTAATTTATACATTAAGGCAAGGGGGTCAACTTGAATCAGGATTTCTTATATAAGAAAAAGATTGAAAAAGAGAAAAAATGCATAATAATATTCTTTATTGAATCAAGATCTCTTCGAATCTTATAATTCTAATAACAACTTAAACTTCACTAAGCGAATCAGAAATGTACAAGCTGTTTGGTGTAAAATACGTTTCCCCATCTTCGTTATATCTCGAGAAACGAAGTTTTATACATTTATATCTTTTGTTAACACTGTACGTACTGTACGTATATTTGAGAGAGAGTGATTTTTTTATAATTTTTTTTATTTTTAATGAAGATCGAGTAGAACAGTTTCGACCATTTTCCTATTCGTTTTATCGTTGCAAATGCCTATCAATTATGTTTGTAACGATAATTTCTGTGATATAAGTCAAGGGGATCAACCAATTACATTCATGAAAACGAAAATTTCGCTGTTAAATTAACGTGTTAGGTTCGAAGACAGGGTTGCGTGAGATTTTTTTTTTCCAAGAAATAGTTATATATTAAACTTGCTGAAAATTAGTCAGCCCTGATTGATACAAATAATTTGATGGATTCAACCAAGTTATGTTGTTTTTTACATGCGATTTAGCATAAGTATCTATAACATGAGCTACTTTATTTTCTTGACGCGGAATCCAATATATGGATTTGAAAGAGAAATCTAACAATAGCTGCTTAATCTCTAACAATACTGGTAGACAAATGGATGAACAATCAGCCTCTCCAATGGTTGCTAGAACAACTACAGAAGAATCACCCATGATAGTAGCATTGTTAAGATTAAGATCTTTCATCAATAAAATAGCATCCTTCAAAGCCATCATTTCCGCAAGTTCTGAAGAACGAGATCCATGCAAACAATGACCCTTTGCAGCTTCAAAATGACCATGTTGATCACGGATATAGATGCCCATAGCAATCCAGTTCCTAACCCTTGAAGCAGCTCCATCGAAAAATATACAAGTTTTCAAATTATCTGGAGGAAACAAGTACTTCGAACGCAATGTAGGTGACCAACGTTCAGGATGACCATTTGCAGACTTAAAATCCTTGAGCATAGTAACAGCATTTGTTGCTAAACCTCTTGGACAAGCAATGGTGTGGTTGAATGAACTATTATTACAGGCATACCATAGCAAATTGCATAAAACACCAAAAAATTCAGCAAAGGTTTTCTCACAATGGATGATTATTTCTCTTACCCATAAATCCCATCATGGTTGTTGGTATTCAAGAATTTTATCTCGTATGTCAGCAAACATGAATACTTCCATTGCAAAGGGACAGTAGACAAAGTATGTAGAGTTGTTGGGTTTGGTTCAGCACATAGAGAGCAAGGTGAATCCAGAAAACAACCACGCCTTTTCCAAATTCTCCAACGAAGGAAGTGAGTTTGTTGAGCATCGCCATAGGAAATGTATGATTCTATTGGGAATTTGCAGTTTCCATAACTTTGTTCAGAATGTAGTATCATCTGTTGACAGAGCTATAGTAGGATGGTTGTCAACTAGAGGAGATGGAATCATTGTTAAAGTATTATAAGCTGCTTTAATGCTGAATCTGACATTAAACGAATGATGCCACATCTATTTATCCCCTGAGGATTGGTTTTCGGGAAACATTGAGAGGATACTTTCAGCTTTTGATGAATGGAAAATGCTGCGCACTAAGTTCACCTTCCAATATCCTGTATCGTGATCAATTAACAAAGAAAGCACTATGCGTTTGAAAATCCGCAGTACTAGGAATCCAATGGTCCATCCAAATACGAGTATTTGCGCCTGAATTGATTCTTTTCCGACAGCCGAGCAATAAGGTATTCTTACCATCCATAAGACTACGCCAAGTAAAAGAAGGAGCATATCCAAGTATAGCATCCAGGAAAGATTGAATTGGGAAGTACTTTGCTTTCAAAATTTTTGCAAGCAACGACACTTGGGTTTGTAAGAATACGCCAAGCCTGTTTACCTAGAAGAGCTAAGTCAAATTTCTCTAAATCTCGAAAACCCATACCTCCGATTCTTTTTGGCTGTGATAATTTACTCCATTTGACTCATCTGATCTTTCTTTTGTCTCCAACATCACCCCACCAGTATGAAGAACACATGGAATTCAGTTTCTGGATAACTGTATCAGGCAATATGAAACATGACATAGTATAAGTTGGTATTGCTTGAAGAACGCTTTTGATAGGAATTTCTTTTCCACCACGTGATAGATGCTTCTCCTTCCAGCCTGAAACTCTCTTCCGTACACGATCTGTGACTTGATCAAAATGTTCTTTCTTACTTTTTCCAGAGACTGTAGGCAGCCCTAGATACTTGTCAAGTTTGTCCACTCTTTGGAACCCTAGAATTGATAGGATTTTCTCTTGCATTTCCATCTTCGTATTTGGAATTAACACAATTCCTGATTTTTCCTGATTAACTCGCTGCCCTAAGGCCCTTTCATATAGATCAATGGCATACTTAAAGTGCAAAGCTTTCTCCTCCGTTGCATGTCCAAACAGTAATGTATCATCTACAAAAAATAGATGTGAAATGGAAGGAGCACCACGGCTCATAGCAACTCTATGTATTTTTGCACAAGCTTGCAAATCTCTAAGAATGCATGAAAAAACTTCAGAACAAATAATAAACAGGTAAGGAGACAGTGGGTCTCCTCGTCAGATGCCTCTTTTAGGGATGAGATTTCCGAATTGATAACCATTTAGTAAAAAAGAAATAGACATAGAAGAAAGACACTGATATATTAAGTCTATAAAAGAAGAATGGAAACCTAAAGCTCTCATAACCTCACATAAAAATGACCGTTCCACTCTGTCAAAAGCCTTACTCATATCAAGCTTTAAAGATATTAGACTTAATTTTCCTGATGTTCTTGATTTCATGTAATGGTGCGTTTCATAAGCAACCAAAATATTGTCTGTGATGAGTCTACCGGGAATGAATACGGATTGTGAGTCACTAATGATAGAAGGAAGTATAGTTCCGACTCGATTAGCTAG